GAGGTTGTTCTGTGTGAGAAAGGCAGAGACTTGGTTGAACACAGCTCGTTCAGGTGTTTTTGCAATGAAAGGAAGAAGGGAAACTGGTCTGTAGTTCTCTAAAAGAGATGGGTTAAGGGTGGGTTTCTTAAATAGTGGGGTTATACGAGCCTGTCTAAATGCTGAGGGAAAAATACCAGTGTGTAGGGATGTGTTAAATGGTGTGAGTGAGTGAAGGTACAACTGCAGGAGAAATGGTTTGGAAATGAGATGGAATAGGATCAAGCGGATGAGTGAAGAGAAGGATGTGAACGAGTGTATGTTTGCTGGTAAGATGTGCTTGACAGATTGTGGTGTGGAAAATTGTGCACTGATGGTTTTAATTTTATTAATAAAGAATGTGGCTAAGTCGTTAGCTGTTAGAGTTGATGAAGGAGAGGGAGGAGGAGGACAAATGAGGGAGGAAAATGTTTTAATGAGCATGCGAGAGTTAGACAAATTGTTAATTTTATTATGATAGTATGTCCTTTTAGCAGTGGAGACATTAGCAGAGAAGGAAGAGAGGAGTGACTGATATACATTAAGGTCAGTAGGATTTTTAGTTAAATCTGTAAAGCTTAAAGGGGTCATATGCTGCTATTTTAAAGATGCAAATCTTCCCACATCGTGACGTAGATATGTGGGGGCGTGTTAGAACGAGCCGTTTTAGGTAGGCATGGTTGACTCTTAACTTTTATAAAGAATATCTCTTTGGATTTGAGACTTTAGTCTTTGCAACTTTACAGATCTTCTTTATGCACCAAGAGCTTGTAAACACTCCAAAGAGAAAGGAAAACTTGAAATCGCATCATATGACCCCTTTAAAATATTGCTACCATATTTTTTTAACCCATACCTTTCTTTTTCTTTTTCTGTAACTGTGTCCTTGTAGTCAAGGTATCCTAATATAAAAGTTTAGCTACTAATTACCTCAGCTGTGAACCAGCTATTACTAAACCCATTTTATATCACATAAACTAAATAATTTTCCGCATTCTGTTAAGTGGCATTATGTTGTTAATCACAAACTAATTTCCTTTGTCCCTTAGTTTAAAAACAAACAAGAAACAATAATTGAGCGAAACAAGCTATTATTATTATTATAATAATTAATATTATTATTATTAATAATAATGGCCCAGTGCACCATTAGTGTAAGTGGCGTTTATTTATTATTTCCTCCACATTATGCAACAAATGCTATTGATCTAATTTGTACAGGGGTTTGCAATCGATGTGTCCAGAGATTTGACCATCATTGTGTGTGGGTGAATAACTGCATCGGTGTCCAGAACACCAGATACTTCCTTCTGTACCTTCTGAGTGTGTGCGCCATGGCAGGCAATATTGCAGTGCTTACAGCAGACATGTTGCTCCAAGCTGTTCTACGAACTGGACTCCTGCATGCTCACTACATTGATGAGCAGGGTGAGCAACAGCCCGCTGGACCGCTCTTTATCATCCAGGTAATAATGACTTACCACAGAAATGGTCTAGTAAAACTAGTAATTGTGCTGAGGTACATGAATTGTCTCTCTAATTAATCTTTTTCCACTGCTTTTCTTGTTACAGCATCTCTTTCTGACATTTCCAAAGATTGTCTTCATGCTGGGCTTCTTGGTATTTGTCTTTTTCCTCTTGGCGGGTTATTCCATGTTTCACATGTATTTGGCTTTGATAAATCAAACCTCCAATGAGTGGTTTAAAGGAAAAGGTCACAACTGCCAGCATTGCCATCCATACTCTGCACATAACTGCCGGACCTCATACAATCCATTTAGAGGTTTCTATCACAGGGGAATCCTCAAAAACCTTGGGGAAATCTTTTGGCCCTTATGTCCTGTTCAGAAAAAAAGAAACTAGAGAAAGTGCATTATTGTTCTTGTTTTTAACTGTGTATTTGTATTCATCTCTGTATTTTATTTTGGTAAATGGGTTTTTTTCATATTTTCTTAGCCTTATGTATTATTGGTACATTTTCTTTCTTTTTCTTTTCTCTGACTTATTTTTTTTTATAAGACTGTTCAAATGTAGTTTCCAATTGTTTTACACTAATTTACAGTGAATGAAAATGAGGCTGTCAAGGATAGCCATACAGTCCATTCAATAGCTGTCTTAAAGTCACATACAGTATAACGTCTTGTTTTTACTTCATGCATTCCATAGTTTTTGTGACAAGGATTTGTTTTTGAAATATGTATTTCTAGAGGACTTGAAGAGTGACACTTAATAATATGGTCATGTTATCAAGTAGAGTTGCAAAAAACTTACATGCCAACATGAGCAAATTATTACTGTTATGTAGGATGAGAGTGTCATATTTCAACAACATTTTATAAAAATAAATTTCAACATGAATAAACTACTAAAATTTAAAGACATTAATCAAATATATTTTATACATGCATATTACAGGGTTTAAATTAATTTCCCCCTTGACCGTAGATGTCATCTTATTCTTAACACATTTTTTAAAGGTTATTCTCTTATTAATTGTGATTCTTCATGATCTGAATTGATTCAACATAAATAATTTTGAGCTTAAATGTTCTATTTTTTTTATTTTTTTTTGTCATTGGATAATAGTAGTTTTTGTTGAATTCCGTTTTGTATTTGTGGACACAGTAAGTCATTTACAGTTTTAGAATAAAAATATTTTTATTTTAAAGTAAAAGGTTAAAGTGGGACTTTTTATTAAATATAGTTTTTTTTTATTTATTAAAAAACATTTAAGCAAAAATAGACAACTTAAGATTTTCTGTATGAGTTTCATGAATGAATGTGCACAGTTTGTGTTTGTGTAATATATAAGGCAAGGTAACCAGTATTAAAGCATAAATCTGTTCTGACAAAGCATAAGTCTGAATCACAGCTCAGCGGCATGTCCAAACTGTACCATTAACGTGTTAATCTGTTTTAGTGAAGAAATCACAAAATTGCAGTATTGTTTAAATTGTTTCTGAAGAAGGAATCTCAGTACAGTTATATCAAGGTAGATTTGAGTGATGCTCCCCTTTCTACAG